TCATATTCTCATGTTCGAAATCCCGGGTTCAGATTGTCTCTCCTACGTAAATGATCATTAAGATAGAAAATACCACACCAACGTCATTACACTATAGCTAGGATCTACCAAATATAGACTACCCGTCACATGAGTACTAACGGTGGTTAGGGGAAGTTTGGCAACCTTACCCCCAAAACAAAAACAATATTATCTCTAGGGTATACGAACAATACTAGTATCTTACGCCTTATTTACTGACATATACTACTCTTGTCACATATTAGACATGCGATAGTTTAGGGAAACTAAGGCGACTAGATTATGTCTTCCAGGTCCCCATTCAGAGACCCCTCACCACTTGTTCACAGACTGCATGAACAATGCGTGTACACTTCGAACTCACCGAAAGCAACCTTACTACCAATCTTAAAAAAATATCGCCCCTTGTAACCAAACGAATTAACAAAGAGCGACATCTTTCTATAAAACCGACAACAATTCCGCAACACACGGAAAACAAGAATATCCATAAACGGGAAGACGGCACCCAAAATCAAGTTAATATCTTAACAACGAGACATGCCACCAACACAACACACACAGCAACACGAAGCCAAAACAAATCGTAAAACAACCAAACCATCGAAAAATAAATTAGCCCACCACATGCGTACTACACACACCACCAAACCAACACCACATACACAAACCAAAACACCACAAAACTCAGATCAAACCAAAAAAGGGTTATGCGCAAACAAGTTGATAACTCCCTCAACACACACACTATCAACACAAAAATACCTCACAATAGAGGCTTAAGAAAAACAATACAACCAAACCAAACTTAAACAATAAAACAACCACAGCCAGACACAATTAACCAATACGCATACACCCTTCCGATAAAACACAAACATGGGAAAATCAAAATATTTGAAATTCTGACTATTAAACCCTACATTCAAGTTAATATCTCAACAACAAGATATGCCACCAACATAATACACACACCAATAGAAAGCTAAAGTATTAAACAAGCCACTTGAACCAATAAAAAAACAATTCACCCACCATAGACCCACCCTAGACACCACCAAACTCACACCAGCTTAACAAATCGAAAATACCGCAAACGCGGAAAACACCAAAAACACGACCAAACACGAACAAGTTAACAACTATTCTCATACGCACAATATGAACATAAAATATACCTGACCATGAAGCTAAAACAATGAACAAAACAAACAAATTAAATCTCAACATTGAACTGACCATACCCTGATGCAATTAACCAATACGCATTACACCCATTCGATAAAAACCGAATATAGAAAATCGAAATATTTGAAAAGCGGACCATCATACCCCACACTCAAGTTAATATCTCAACAACAAGATATGCTAACAACATAATACATATACCAACTGAAAGCTAAAACATCAAGCAGATTTCCTGAACCACCAAAATGTAATTTACACACAATAGACCTACCCGAGACACAGTCAAACTCACACCAACTTAACAAATCGAAAATATCGCAAAATGCGGAAAAATAAAAAATACAACCATACACGAACAAGTTAATGCCTCTTCGAACACACACGATATCAACACAAAATACACATGACAATGAAGCGCAATGAACAAAACAACCGAACCAACACCGAACTGTCCATACCCCAATACAATTAACCAATACACCCATTTGATAAAAACCAAATACAATAAAATCGAAATATTTGAAATACGGACCACTAAACGGAACATTTAAGTTAATATCTCAACAACAAGATATACTACCAACATAATACATATACCTACCAGGAAAGCTGAAACATTAAACAAATCACCTGAACCACCAAAAACCCATTTATCCACCTTAGACCTGACGAATGCGAAACTAGCTTTTCGAGTTGGCAGTAACGTGAGATTTGTTCCATGAATAAATGACTAAAAAAGCAAAAGTATGTTTATTTATGTTCTTAATTTCAAAGTAGCATATCTGTCGAATAGTTGAGTATGCATTTAAATTGCTCAAAATAAATCGTTTGTGGGTAAACTAGCCCCAGGAAAATGGCATATATTTCCTAAGATTTTTTACCAATGATTGCCATAGCCATTTTAAAATATATGCTACCACCCCTAGCTTACATATATTGAGCTAATCCAATTATGTAATGTTACTAAACAAAACAAATCCGAAGGTCTACCGCAACAAATGATATGATATGTAAGATGTGCTCGTTAAATACTTCATTGCTCTTGATGTAATTTACGTTCATGATCTATAAATTAAATTCGTAAACTTAATATCAAAAGTGCTAATATACGCCATGTTTTGAAAATGTTCGAAACTTTACTACGATATGATAGAAGCGCGTGTTTAATATTGTATTGCCCTTGATGTGATATGTTGAGGTCGGGGTTAATGCAATACGTTCATAATATATCAATCAGAATAAGAGTGGAGAGCTTTTGGTTAATGTCATCGAGCGTCCAGAATGGAGCGTCTTGAATACAAGCGTCGGGTTAAATAGTAGCGTTCAGAATAGAGCGTCCTGATTGCAGAAACCGATCGGTTAAATAGCGTCCAGAATAGAGCGTCCTGATTGCTGAAAGCGACCGGTTAAATAGCGTCCAGAATAGAGCGTCCAGAATGGAGCGTCTGGAATAGAGCGTCTGGAATCGATAGCGTCCGGTTTAATAGCGTCCAGAATAGAGCGTCTGGAATAGAGCGTCTGGAATCGATAGCGTCCGGTTTAATAGTGAGCGTCCAGAATGGAGCGTCCTGAATAGATAGCGTTCGGTTTCAGAGCGTCCAGAATAGATAGCGTCGGGAATAGGTAAATAGCGTCTGGAATAGAACATTAGCGTCAGGAATGGAGAGCGTTCGCTTTTAGAGCGTCTGGAATAAAGAGCACACGAAATCGTACATTTTCGTGCACCTAAATTGCGAAATTATGTCTGTAAACTTTTGACACAGAATTTACACCATAATAATGCCTTGGTCACATTTGCTCCGATTTTCACTACGGCGCCCGGCCGATTGAGTTTTTTGTTCAAAATTGAATACAATATTGAACAAAACACTCAATCGGCCGGGCGCCGGCCGATGGATCGGAGCATATGTGACCAAGGCATAACGTTGGCTTATAAATGACTTATTGTAGGCTGTTGTTACATCAATGCCCATGGTGTTATCATGCTGGGTTAAATCAACAACTAACATGTGTTACATGTACTTAAAAGAAGGATTAACAGAGTGATATCGCATTGTAGATGAGGGGATGATACATATAAGATAAGCTTAGTTTTTACAAAAAGGTATCATTGTTGCATCATGTTTTATACAAATTGATATGTACTGTACATTATCAAATGTTGTTGCAAAACTTTAAAAATGAAGTTGAAAAAATGAAAAGCGGCTATTTGTATGCTTTTTTTTGAAATACCTGTTCGGTGTTTCCTTGATCAGTTGCCCCTTCATCTCTTGACAGATATCTTAAAACAACATTCATGGTATGAACCCTACCCACGGTGACATATACTTTAATCAGTACTTCATGTTAAGGTTTGGGGCAAAATGTTGTTTGAAGTACTGGTCAACTAGATCACAAACAAGTATTTCGTATACCCAAACATTGGTGGGAGGGTCGGGAATTTTTTTCAATAACTATTAAGTAACAGATATTATAAGTTATTGAATGATTTGATGTGCAATACAGAATATATTCTGCTCGAGAAATTCTGTATTGGGACGAGACGAAGTCGAGTGCCAATACAGAGTATCGAGACAGAATATATCCTGTATTGCACTTCAAAGCATTTAATAACGTTTTATCGTGTGATCTTAGGCCAATACATTTCACTTAGGAGATAATGCCTACGAAACATTCTGTCTTCTCTGTATTGCTACTGAGATTGCACCTCCCCTCTCCGTACCAATATTTTCTGTATTGCTACGGAGATGATCAGTGGTGACAATCTCAGTAACAATACAGATTGGTACAGCACAAGAACTGACCAATCAGAGGGCTTCATTTTACAGATCATACGATAAATATAGATGTCACTGTGGATAGGCTTCTGGCCTATGTAGAAATCTTCAATACACTTGGTACACGAAAAACACATGAGTCTCATTATCGACTTATAATTTCTAATAAACATAGTGACTCATGCACCAGCATGTTATTGTTACACTCCTCTCCATAAGTTTGGCAAACTGGACGTTTTCACTTTATTCAGCCATTATGTCCCTATCATTGAATATATGCCTGAAGTCTGACGTCAATATAGCCCGAGCTTGCGAGGGTTATATTGACGACAGACTGAAGGCATATATTCAATGATACGGACATAATTGATGTATTACATACCTAAAGTACATTTACATTGCATTCCATGAAGGTATTATGTAGAATAATGCGTAAAAAAAGACAAAAATTTTACACGATTCCAGTCGAAATCACTTTGTTTCCTGTTTTTACGTCATACAATTGTCATGGTAGAAAAGTTCGGCGGCTATACAGGAATATATAGCCGTCCTTCAGCTCCATTGACTTCCATACAAATGCTTCGCTAGGTATGTAATACAACATATAAAAGCGTTTTAATGTTTGAAATTTTTTTTCAAATTATAATGGTTTTGAAATGTGATACTTATATTAAATTGTAAAACCTAAACAGGCTTCAATATATGATCCAGAGGAGAGGAGGACTTCTAATTACCAAACGTATGGAGGTGAGTGTAAGTCGATTTGGGATTTTGAATTAAAGTTAAGCGAGTGTACATTTAAATACTGTACTTTACTGTCCAAGTGTACAACAGTAAATGTAGTGCATGGTTTTATCATGCAAAACTTCACCTCTCGTCACATGTTGCATTTGTTACAGACGCCGAACGCCGACGATTAGCCGCCGAATGCCGTTCACAAAAATGTTTGAGACTGTAACGATATATCAACACTTCTGATGGTGACATGGATATGCAAGGGAAATGTTTTCTACTTAAATATATGGATTAAAATGATGGTACTCGGGTGACAAAAGTACTTTTTTGTTTTTAACGATTTCGATGTAACCTGGTACAGAACACTTGTGTAAACGTACACATATTTAACAGGACGCTCATAAGAAAGTTACTTGAGTGGCGAAACTATATCATGGATATTTAAGCACTTAATAAAATAAAGTTTATAGTTAAAATATGAGGAGGAAAGGAAAAGTGATGAATACAAAGGTTGATTAATTTCTCTCGTGTCTTACAATCGGAAGCAGTGAACATGTAAGTAGATTATTAAAAATAAGCAATCAAATGACGACAGTTTGATATTATAATACATACATTTTGATCCAAAACATACGTTTATTTCAGACAATTCGTTTTTTGCAGTAAACCCATTGCTTCTGTGATTTAGGTAGTCTCAGTCATAAATTAAAATATGTCAGAGATGTCAGAGAAGTAACACCATACACAATACCACACTAGGGGTCGTTTAGCCACAAACAAAGCAAAATATACGTACACTCCCCTCCATAAGTTTGGCAACCTTTTTCCCCATTGAACTACGTGTTAAAGCCTCTTTACATTCGAATTTTTATTTACTTAACCTGCGAAGGAAATACTTATACTATTGATGGAAACGTAATTTGACTTTAATTCCAATACCTCAAAATTTTCTCAATTTTTTCCTCAATTACAAAAGGTCGAAAATTGATGATAAATTTGATGAATTTTTGAAAATCGAAATTCCCATGTTAACCAATGGGAAATGGTAGGTTTGCCGCAAATCATATGACAGAATATCCATCCATCCGAGTCCTTGCATAAAATACGATTTAGGCAGGCACATGAATTTGCTAACTTTATTTAAGAAGAAATTGATATGTTTCTTCAGGTTCAACAAAGTTATAGGGCTTTAAAGTCAAAATTGTTTTTCAAAAAAACTCTCCCATTGAAATAACACAGGAGGCGAAAAATTATTTTCAAAAATGACTTTGAAGCGCTGTAACTTTAATATTCATCAAATAAACTAAGCACCTAGTGTTCAAAAAAGTTAGACAATTCAATTTTCTATATAAAAATATTTTTTGCTGAATCTTTTACTGAAAAGATATCCTGATTTCTGATTTGCCCCGAACCCTTCATTTCCCATTGGATTACATAGGAATGACGATTTTCAAAAATTCATCAACTTTATCATCAATTTTCGACCTATTGTAATTGAGGAAAAAAATTGAGAAAATTTGGAGGTATTGGAAATAAAGTCAAGTTACGTTTCCATCAATAGTATAAGTCTTTTCTCCGCAGGTTAAGTAAATAAAAATTCGAATGTAAAGAGGCTTTAACACGTAGTTCAATGGGGAAAAAAGGTTGCCAAACTTATGGAGGGGAGTGTAAGGTAAGTTGTCTTTATTAGGTTATTTTTCTATTTTGAATATAAAATTGCACAATGGTCCTTTTTTTGTGGGGGGTCTAAATGACTCACAAAACATATTTTGATATGCTATTTTGAAATGAGAGTTTCAAGCAATGTTTTGTAAACAAAGTTTTAAATCGGGTCCGATCCGGTTAAAAGGTGTTTAAACCGGCGTATTAAATACAGTAGGAGCCTCTTCCTATTTCAAATTAGTTCAATCGACAAGTGAATTTTCCAAGAATGTAGGATGAACATCTTTCTGAGAATCTTCCTGAATGATAAACATCTTTGTTAGAATATTTCTGAGTAAAATATTAATAAATTATCGCGTACTTTCGTTTCTTTTTGTAGGGATAAACAGAGCGTTAAAAGGCTGTATATGACACCATTTTGATCAAAAATTCATCTATGACCAGCGCCTCACTATACGAACATATCCTAGGCAAATGAGAAGAGTGGAACCATATCAAATCCTCAATTCGGTGATTTCATAGGCAAAGACTTAAAGACATTAAGGTAAGTTTGATATGCTTTAAAAAGCTGTATTGATGATAGGTTATTCTTCTAGTCTTTGTGTTACGTCACATACGTACGTACGTTACATGACATGACAAACCCTTACTTTTGAACCAGATGTTGTTTGTGAGTACAGCGGACATATACTATTGTACAATATTCGAGAAAGATAGGCTAATATAACCATTGCGCTACACTTCCTGATTGAGTCTTTTCCATGTAGCTTTAATTTGAAATCTTTTTTAATGAGACTTTAGAAATATCGACCATTTAACCATTAATGACCAATCTTTTCTTTTATTTGATGGCATATTTGAATTCTTAGTGTAATTTTCTAATTCAAAACAACTAACTTTGATTTGCACAGTTGTTTACCTGTATTCAAAGTTTAGAGTTTTTCTTGTCACGTTTTATGTATTCTGGCCCTACCAATACCCGTCCTGCCATCTAATTTCCATTTATATAGAAAATGGTCAATCATGGACCATGCTACTCTTCACTTCACTGCAAATATATACATAGAAAACATTCATTTTCTTAAATCGCTTTGCTCAAACCACTATCAAATAAAATATACAAGTTGATACATCTGGATTTAGCCAGGGACCTCGAATTGTCTGTGTTTTATATACTACGTGTTGTTTTTTAGTGTTCTTTCGATATTTATCGCATGAAAATATTCGTGAAAAAACTGGCTAAAACGGGAATCAACAAATATTTGAGACATTAAGTTTGCGATGTTTTTCACAACGTAACCGTGGACGCAAAGTCCATGAATCAATATAGTAATGTGTATAGCACGCATACAAAACAGGCGCTAATTAGTCTACTTTACCCCCCTATCACAACAAACTAGTTCTTACCCGTTCTTGCCAGCCCTACGAAAACGGGCTCAATCTGGCTGTGGTCGGGGAATATGTCTAAAATAATTAGCTACTTCGTTCATAAACAGTCTTCAATACGTCCGTCTCATTCGCAGTTCGTCCAGGTCGCACCGAGTTGTTGTGGAACGTCGTATAACGCGTCCCTTAGTCTAGAAGGTCACCATGACCTTATTACAGAACGGTATGGTCGCCATCGAATTTTAAATCATTTCAAAATTCTAAAATCACCTTTCCGTCTGAGAACGTTCGTGAAGTTCGTAAATAGTCCTTAGGAAGTTGCATCTACGTTCATTCCGTTCGCATACAGTTTAAAACCAGTTTTGAATAACGCAATGGCAACTTGTTTAGTGTGATAGCTCTATTTTTTCTAATTCGTTCATAAGCAGTCTTTAATACGTTCTTAATCATTTTAAACCTGTTTGCAAGTAGTTCTACATCGTTCTCAATTCGTCCTCAGACAGTTCAACTCGTTGTCAAAACGTCCCTAGTAGACCGTCCAGCTCGTCGTTAGAACGTTGTCATTCGTTCTAATTGTAGAACGTGACAACCACGAGAGCATTTTGAGCATGATCTAAGTTCAAGAGGACCTACCCGTTCAAGTACGTTCGATGAAGTTTGTAAATAGACACCAAAACGTTTCTAAGTACGTCCAGTCCGTTTGTACACAGTTGAAGCCCGTTTTTGAGAACGTAGTGAGAAGTAGTTTGGTGTGATAGTAGGGTTAGATACCCGATCAGCTTCAGTTTCGTGTTTAGAACGAAAGATTTGCAATGCGCACCGTGTCAAAACTGAATACAATGTGACTTAGGCATAAATGTCCAAATGAACAACATATTGGAACATTTAGTATATGCTACTAGAGTGTAGTTGTGTTACAATTGTCCTGACTGGAAATAGTAACGTTTTGCCGAACAAACGACATGCAAAGAGGGTTATTCTTTTAAAAATGTAATGAGTCATGCATTGAAAGAAATTCTTCAATTAATGGTATTTATTTATCAATAAGACTTAACCATATCATGATATAATGCATCAAATCAAGGGAAAATGTGTTTCTGGACAACAATGTTGCAACTTGAATTCATGTGAAAATATCGTTAATGAAAATATATTGTAACCATTTTTTATGCCACTCGCTAGTTTTATATCTACTGATATGCAAAAAATAGAAACGGAAATAATCGTTCAGAATAACTCTCTTTTCATCATGTTACTTGCAATAAAAAATAAATAAATGCAAAAGTACCTTATTATATTTTTGATCCAAATTAGAAATAATTTCAAATATTTGTTCTTTTTTATCATTTCCTATTATCGTGTTCGTAATGAAGGAATATTAAGTCGAAATGCTTGTTTGATGGAAAGTAAAATTGTATAATTGGTTTAGTAATTTTATAGGGGATGCGATATACGTGCAAGTTGAAGGTTGTATGATTCTTTGAACACGTTTTCTATGACGGCCAATTACACGTATGTTGTGTTTTCGAACTCTTAGAGAACAATTTTTATGCTTCACTCTGTTTACATATTTTTTTATTGTGACCTCCTAAAAACAATTCGTCATCGCCAATTCATTGTAAACAGAACACATCTAGACAAGACGTTGCATTAAAACTACATTTTGAATAAGTTAAGTTGTTTTCATTTAGATTTGAAAACTCTTTTAAAAACGTGATTTTAAAAATGTAATGGTCATAAATATTTGAACAATTTGTTTACATACATATTTTATATCCGAGATTTCTAAGTAACGAGTCACCATCGAAAACTTACATTAAACAAAACACTACAAACTGAAAGACTGAAATTGCGTTGCAGTAAGTACATTTAAATATGTTACTAAGTTATAATAGTAAATGATATAATAATACTATATATATATATTATAATAATAAACTAGTACAGAGGGTGGGTAATACAAAATGGGACACTTTTTATCATTCTTAGAGGTATTAAGAAACACACAGATAAACCATGTGTGATATACAAAAAGATGATGGGGCATTGAGTTTTAATAGTACCCTGGACAGGTCCAATGATGCAGTCGTGTTATTACTTTATATATTTGCAACGGAACAACCAATGACATTTTCAGGATTTATTCTAGAGACAATATTTAATATGATAAACACTTTACTGTCAGTAAAATACAAGTTTTCTTGTGAATTGAACTTTTAATGCCATTTCAAATATTGTCTAGCTATTAAAGTTTCTGTCGCCTAAGTCTTTCAATATGTATTTGTTGCCATACCAATTATGGTTGATTATTGTCAACCATGTGAGTCATCTCTAAAGGATCTAATTTGGTTCATTCTTTTTTGTCTAATTCTGTCAATCAGCTGTGAATCATTTCCTAAATCAAGCCCAGCTGGAGGAGGTCAAGCTTCCTGCCAACGGAAATGAGTTCAACCCAAGCGAACTGTTCAATAACTATGTCGAAAATGAAGAAAAACATAAGAAATCTCCACCTTCACATATTCCCGGCATTTGATCCATCAGAGATGCTAAAATAGCCGTGTCAACTGCTATCATGAAATTGTCAGTTAAACCTGACAGTTGCAAAGCATGGAACAATATAAATGCCACGTGGTTGCATGCTGAGAGACAGTGATCGAAAGACCCGGTGATGAAAAAGGTGCTTAATCAGGAGAAATGTGACCCAGAACGGCAATTTTTTCATGCACTGTAATAATATCGAATATATGACTAACATGAATAACAATAGTCAGCCATAATTAATATTGAAAATTTCAATAAGAATGTGTTTCCCATTGCAATTATATATTTCTAAGATGTAATATAATGTGACTTATCTTCATTGTTTTAAAAATAATGACAGGTTTTGATTGTGATGTCACAATTCACAATAAAAACAGATTGTACAATATAAAAATGAAGAAATTCTTGAAAAGAATGTCTAAAATGTCTGCCTCTATCGGTACTAATTGCTCTCAATTTTAGAATTTTTTTTTTGATGTTGGTGTGTTTGTGTTATACAATGGATATTTTGTCTTTCAAAATATCATAAAGTAAGTCATATTTTGTAGACTAAATAAATAGTCTTTTTTTTCGTTGGTCTGGATTAAATATGGGTTAATTCCTCATAAAAAAATTCTCTGGGCCTCTTGACCCTTGGAAAATATCATTGTCCCTCGGAATAAAACACATATTTAAACCCTCCCAGTAAATAACCTATATCATGTTACTTGCAATAAAAAGATAACTGCAAACGTAAATATCATATTACGGACCCAAATTATCAATAATTTCAATCTTTACTCTTTTTTATCATTTCCTTTATTCGTGTTCTAAACGGATGGAGATTGACTCTAAATACTTGTTTGATGGAAAGTGTAATTATATAATTGCTTTAATAATTGTATAGGTACTGTCATATACGAGCAAGTTCAAGGTCGTATGATTATTTGAGCACGTCTACTTCTAAGGTCAATCACCATTTTAAGAACATTTTGTATGTTTCAATCTGTTTATATTATTTTATAGATGTGACTTCCAAATAACAGTTCACCATCAAAGCACATCAAAACAAGACTGGAATTGCGTTGCAGTAAGTACATTTAAATAGTTCAATTATTTGTTTTCGTTGAAAAGTAACGTGAAGTGATTTCCAAAGTGAATGACCGCTTGTGAAACAACAGGTTACTACATTTCCGTGACAAGACTGGAATTACATTGCAATAAGTACATTTAGATATTTTCATTTGTTTTCGTTTTGATAAGAAAAGGTGTTTTCTAAGTTGAAAGATAGCATGTGTATCAACAGGTTACGACAACCTAACTATATTTCCCATTGTAATTCCTTGATTTACTCAAATATTCTTAAAGTGAGTCACGCTTGCTTATTATTTATAACATTAGCATACACAAATGCAGGAGTTCACGCCTACAATGTTTTAGAGAATGTCACTTTGCTATTTATTGTATAGTATTGTTCCTGGCAATAGATGGTTCCATGTTAAATCATATGAAGAATTGTTTGACGAGTGCTCAGTTTAGGACATATACATTTTGTGATATCACACTTTTGAGAACAATTTTCTTGCTTTATATGAATACATAATTGTCATGGTTTTAATGATTTATATCCATGGCCATTAATTGCATTTTTGGTATAACTTTGTTACACTTCAGTACATAAATAATTGGAGTTTCAACTTTATTTTATAGATAATAGTCACTAGGTTGGAACGATTAACTTATGCAGGAACCGCAGCATCACATTTTACTAAGATACATAAATAATTTAAGTTGAAAAATATATTCAGCGAATATTTTTGTTTCCTAATAAAGTGTCATGCGGCAATTTCTTTCCAAAATAACACCATGGTTCTGAATTTATATAGCGATGCGCAGATAATTTGCACGTTTTGTTGTCATTCGAAAAAAAACATCATAAATGTCAGTACTGTCTTTTTTACAGTGGAATGATCCACCGGATGAACATGTAATTGAACAATGGCAGCCGAATTTCGATGGCTTCTACTTATGTTATTTGTGCATAGTCAACACCTGATTAATGCACAACCAGGTAAGTTAGCATTGTAAAGGAAGTATATACATTAATTCAATCTATATCATGAACTGAACGATGACTAGATATTATCATGCCATTTTGTGATCAAATGTATACTAGATCATTCCATTTCCTGCAAAAATGAAATTGAAATCCATGCATTATAAGTAATGTTTGCAAAATAGATAAAGGGTGTTTTACACTCACCCTATATATTGTATTTATGTTTATCACACGCACGTGTTTACCAACGCTTTGTTGCAAAAAACAAACAAAACAACTGTTTTGCCTGTTATTAAATTTAATAAAATATAATAATAATATAACATAACATGGATATATAATATTACATGACAATATGTGCAATTGTATAAATATTTTCGTCTAGGCCGACTTCCTACGCGCCAAATTATTTTGCAATGAAAGTACATGAATAAGGGTCAATATATCCTATTTTATTTAATTATGGATCAGTATTTCCTTGATGCATAACATCAATGATTTAACCTGTTCACATCCCGTTTTGGAATAGCGAGGCCACAATGAAATAATTTATGTTTATCTTGTATTTGACTGAGACATTTACGAATACAAAATTTGGGACTTTATTTTTTACGATTTTGTAATTTCCTAATATCTACTATATCCAACAGGGTTGCCATTTTGGGTCACTCTGTATGCGGTTGAAGTAATTGTGAATAAATATAATGATAATCTGATAATGATTTATAAGAGGGGAAATATCCCAGGATTCATAGATAAACTCATCTCTATCTAAAAAAGAGCATCTATAGTTTCATCTATGAACTCTGGGGTTCCCCTTCTTAGAGATGATAGACAGTTGGTCCATCAGGCACCAGTGTAATGTCCAAATCAAATGAAAAATCTAAGGCAAGGAAGTATATGAAGGTTGCCCAAGTCAATATGGTAAAACGTAATATTTTGGACTCCAATGGGGAATGCATATGCTATAATGTGTAATGTATAATTTTAACTTGAAGGAACCTCGGAGACGATCACTATTATTACGGAGGATGCAAACTATATTCCAATTGATCAGATTGATCTCACAGGAAAGCTTGGACTTGTATTCCAAGTCCAGGCATGTGAATCAGCGCATGTCGTATTGTCAGCCATTTTCGGAGATACCAACTCTCGAATGTACGAGATCTTGATATCAGGATGGTCAAACAAAAAGTCTGTGATTCGAGATTGTAGAGGAGGATGCGATAGAGCTGGATCACCGACAGAAGGTCTTCTGAAATGCAATGAATCGGTGTCTCTGTGGATCGGATGGACAGATGGTGAGATGAAACAATTTATTTTTGATGTTAAATTCAGTTAGCCCACATTATATTTTGTTATCATTTTTACAATAATCAAGCATTGTACTTGAAGCTGAAATGTACTGGTATTTAATTGTGTTTCTTTTCATAGGAAACATTGCTCTTGGGAAAGGTCGTGAATTAGGGATCGATCCGCTGGTAGAATGGCAAGATAGCAGTCCTGAATACATCACTTCGTTTGCTGTTGGTACTACAAATGGTGTCAATGGAATTTGGAAATTCACACCCGATGACAGTAAGTTTTGTTTTATAGCAGTCATTTTGCAATGATCTGTATTTTAAAGCAGTGATTTTGTCCAAGGAGCAACTCACCATTGACAAATTTATTTTAACAAAACATTTAATCTCGTTCGTGTAAACAATTAAACTTAATTGATGCTCATACATTATATGTCTAATTTTTGGAAATAGGCTAAGGTTTCAAGGTGTTTAAGGGGAAAACATTTTCTTTTTAAACTGTAAGTCATGAAGTGTGTTTCTTTTTAATATGCGTGCCCTGATTACGAATTGTTTTATCATAATTTTCTATACTAAATCTTTTTTTCAATTCAAAAACACATCTACACACAAACATATTTTATTCTCCATTGATCAAACCAAATAATACAAGACGCATTAATATATTGTCTTTTTTGATTCAAACTGCAGTTTACGTTTAAATGGGAATATATTAAGCATATGATACATTCGTAAACTGGCGTTTTATTTTATTTTAGACTGCAGTTTACCATTGAGCATGAGTAAATTAGCACATTATTCATTATTCGTATACTGCCCTTATATTTCGTTTCAGTTTATCTTTGACTATGAGTATATTAAGCATATGATGCATTCGTTTAATTACTCAATTCTATTTTGTTTCAGACTGTCGTTTATCATTGACTATGAGTATATTAAGCATATGCTGCATCCGTTTAATTACTCAATTCTATTTTGTTTCAGACTGCAGTTTGCCATTGACCAGGAGTATATTAAGCAATGGACAGGTCGCTTATTCATCGTCCTCGAGTGGTCTTCCAAGATTTAACCAGAATAGTAAGTTTAAAATAATTCTTAACTATTAAGTGCATTTGTCTTGCATCTAAATAACACTTTTATATAAGTCAGACCAATACACTTGTTATTATCGAAACTCAACATATCATGAGCATTTTAGGATCCCAGTTAAACTAATTATATGGCTAGGTTGGCTAACCTTGTATTCATGAATGCAACTAACGCCTGTCGGCTACCGGATTAACTTACTCTTTTATTGGCAACTCATTTAAACATATGTATCGTACTTGCCACTATTCCATTCAAATTTAAACGAGTTGATCACAAAAAAGGTTAATCCCGTAGCCGCTAGCCGATATTTGCATTCGCGAATCCAAGCTAATACTTGTCAGTTTGAAATTCACAGTTGCCTGGCTGCTATTTGCAGTAACTTTTATCTCTCCGCTATCAACTTTGAAAAGCGAGTTCCATTTTTTGCATTTGACAGAATACCAATATGTTTGTGGCAATCATGTTTCCGACCTTAGGCATGACACCTATCCCATTACCTGTACTGTCCAGTCCCATGCTCTAGCTATAATACTTTTGTTACGATTCGCTTGGGCTGTTATGGTGATTGTTGCGAATCATAATTTTATGATTTGATTCATTGGGATCTTGTGGCCGTTCGGTACTCGCGAGGTTCATTCCTTCTATAACCCAATGTTTAGCATTGTGGTTAGTGAGTAAAACTTACTGAATAAACAGATATTGCTGTGTTCCTTGTACACCAGATAAAATGAATTATTTTATTGTGCAAATATAAGTAGGAATATTGCTGACAAGATGTTTATGTAAGCAAGATTCAAATTGTAATCCTGAGTTATGATTGGTTGTTGCAAGCAACTGCATGCCATAATTACATCGATATATACTTAATCATTCTGTCTCAAGATTGTAGCGCAGAGAATCTCCCGTTGTAAGGTAACTGAGGTCTAAACAGCCATTAATCAAGTAACAGCAGCATGATCTTTACAATAAAATATATTAATTGCATATAATAATGAATAAATAATATGGTAAATATATATAACGAAATATACTTACATATAGTCTTACTTCTTATCATAAAAAATATCAGCAAACTTGGGATTTTTTCACCAAATTCATCTTTAGCGGGCTCCGGAAAAATGTGGCATAAAATATTAGAACCCCCCTGACAGTTCCTGGCTTCGCCACTGTAATGGTTACTTTTTCTATGAATCTAGATGGATGGTATAGCCATGGTTCGAGTACACCCTGGCTACAAGTTGATGTGCTACAACCACATAAATTAACAAAGATGGCGCTACAGGGGTATGCTCCGGGGCATTCCTATTGGGTGAAAACATTCCAAATTCTTTACAGTGTAGATGGAACCAATTGGTTGTACTACAATAAAAGGGAAATTCAACAGGGGAATAGCAATGGGCACGATGTTGCCATTGTGGATATTACCGATAATATAGAAGTAAGCAGTGTGATGCATCCAGTTCCTTTATTCTCCAGGGTTCAAACAATAAAATACGCTTAAACATGTTCGTCAGGTTGGATTATTAAATCACTAGAACAAATTTTTTTCTTTATACGAGGGTTGTCCCAGAAGTAATGCACTATATACTCTAACTTTATCAATAATTGATATTTTTCCATGAAATTTTCAGTAATTGTTCCTTAGAGACATTTTGATTATTCTACAAATTTTCATGTTGACTGATAAAACTGTCTTGATGTTATAATAAAATCAAGTTGGTGAGTTTGGGTAGGGCGGGGCAGGTTATACAGTCTCGTCAAAAGGAATAAAAATTGAAAATATGAAATAATTAATCAACAAATACCATTTTGTGTAGCTCAAAAATACATTTTAAGATACTAAATTACTATGAGCACATCTTAGATTTAATGGATGTATATTGCATAGTGGCCCATTTCACATTTTCTCAAAATATTGCCCTTTGCATATTATGTACTTTTGATGCCTGTCAGGTCAAACACACTTGGCAATTTCTTCCACTGTGACTTGTGGAATTTTTTCCTCCCATGTTTGGAGTTGTCATTCAGGGTCCAATCATCCCTTTAAATCTCTTCCCTTTTAAATTTCTTGACTGTGACTGTATTTGAATGTGTGACTATTGAACTGTATTATTATGATATCACAGTGCTAAATTACATTATAATAAATGTAACAATTTCCAAAACATTTTGATCATTTAAAAAAAGAAATATTAATAAAATAACACTGGATCTTTTCATAATTAGGAAAATTGGTACCTGCCCCGCCCACCCTTACCCCCATGTTGCTATAGCAACCATATTAAGACTTAATATTAATGTTTGATGCTGAAACTTCAGGATATAATAGATACAATTTCAATTGTTATATACACAAAATTTCAGCTGAATTGAAGTATATTAAAGAAAGTTAGAGCATATAGTGCATTACTTCTGGGACAACCCACGTACAACCTTTATTTTGAAAACACAGAACGTTTCGGATCACATCTATTTTTTTATCAACTGTAACAAAACTGAACTGAAGCGCTACAAAACAATAAAGTAAATACCAATATAACGTCATATTAATTCCCGAATAATTCATTCCAAATTCCCACCAATTTATAATTCCCCTGATCCCTGTTCATCGTATTATTTTTGTTGTGATCCAAAACGTTCTGTGTTTTCAAAATAAATGTTGTGTAGAGAAGAAAAATTTGTTAAGCGAATTGAAATACAATAAGTTCGGAACTGTCTCTTATTATCTGCAAATCCGTTAATAATGGCACAATAAATACGTGAAATATCAGCAAATTAATGCCATATTATCTAAATAAAATAGGCCTCAATTTCAAAATATGAACGGCTGTATTTAAAGGCACGGTATATTCGCATACTTCCCATAACGTGGAATAGTCGCCCTGGAATACGAATGGAAATTTATGGCTGTCAAAAAGCAGAATCCGAAAGAGAATACACGCCTATCGACGACGATATTTTGGTAAGTGGTTATACTTAGTTCTAATAAATGACTGTAATATGAAACTTATTTAGAATTATAAAAATCCTCATTAAAAGATTTTCATGAATAAACAACTCAATTGAAGTAGCAATTACGAATCTTTTTATTAGTTTAATTTGTCAATATGCTTTTTATTTTATTCTACATTCGGATGTCCTAGTATTTGAGTATAATGAATGATCATTAAATATATCATTTTAAAAATCATAGTCGGATATTATGTACTGGATTTGATGTTTATGCTTGTACTTACAATTTATAGGATGAGGAAGTCCTATTCTTACATCTCAGTCCGTATATTGTGTCAAGACTAGTTGCCATTAGACCAGATGGGACTCTTACAATACAACCAGGCGTCAAAATAATATTAACAATATGCCTATATATGTACTTGCAATTTATAGGACGAGGAAGTCCTATTCTTACATCTCAGTCCGTATATTGTGTCAAGACTAGTTGCCATCAGACCAGGTGGGACTCTTACAATACAACCAGGCGTCAAAGTAATATTTACAACAGCTGAAGCTGGTTTTGATGTGCATGGTACGCATGATATAACTTTATGTAGTATTTCTGTGTATTTGGTTTCTGTAATAGTGGCGATATGATCTGATACGCGATATGTGTACTACAGTACAAATTCTATTTCAGGTAATCTTTTAGCTCAAGGGATTGACAATCTTCCTGTTGAGTTCACGGCTGATGATGCCGTGTCTGAAATTTCATCGCATTGGACTGGACTAATATTTGTCTCTGGTGGTAAGTTTTGCATTATATTCTAATTAGTGTTTACTTAGAACAGTAATTAACAAAAAATAAACGCATACATTTAATTTTCTATATCCTTTCTCTCTGTAGATTCCTTACTACAACATGCTTATGTAGAAGGAGCGCGTGTGGGTATCCAAGCAACAGGCTACTCCGTAACTCTAGATCACGTGACCATCACAAAATGCTCAGCCGGGATCAAATACACCGACGGGGGATCATTCGCCAACTCAACAATGATATCTGATTCATACATAGGAAATAATGGCGGGCATGGTATTGAATTTAAAGGGAGTCCTGCCCATCCGTTTCTATCTATCACTCGGACTATTATAACGGGCAGTAAAAGCTCCGGCATATATTGCAGAGACACACACGCAAATATCTCCATCGAGGATTCGGAGTTGTCACACAATGCTCAAAGGGGTTTAGAAACGTATCAAACCGTGGGGAATATCAAAATACACAGGGCAGAAATCCTGAGAAATAGAAATAATGGGCTCTATATTTACAAAATGAGTGGGAATACCACAATTGAATCAACAAAAATGAAACATAACTACTATTACACCATATATTATTACTCGGATAACAATTATAGAGGAGGTCGTTTTCTACTGATTAACAATTCTTTTGTGGGAGAAAGCAACGGTCCCGAATACTATGCTGTATATTTGTACCCCAACACCTTTGATGGAGACGAAATACAAATTGATAGAAACGTGTTCAAGGACATTGCAACCTCATACCCTTCGTTGCAAATAGAGAATAACTATAAACAGTCTGAGTTGAATATTACAATAACAAATAATGTCTTCACCAACTGCTTCAAATCAATGTTGGTTAGGGCCTACCACAAGACAAACGTATTTATAGAAGACAATACAATGGAAAACAACAGAGCTGATAGTCGGTACATCGATGTTCAGTTAACCAGTTCGAATACTAATGGAAGATTCCATATTTTCAGGAACAAATTTACAAACATTGCTGCATCCTCTTGGTTATGGATAGACACGGACAATTTCATAATAGCAAACAATTCTTTTGAACAATTCAAAAGCGTTGATCAGTGTGCATTATATGTTTCTGTATCTAAAACAGCTTTAATCGTTAATGTCCCATATTCCTATTGGGGCTCGTCTGATCCAGGTGATGTGAAAGATAGAGTATGTGGCAACAGTAGGAATATGAATCTTGCACATGTCACTGTCTCGCCTTTTTATACTTACCGCAATCTGACCGAACTGAATGAAGATGAAGGAGTAGATTTCTACTTTACTGATTCAACGGGTGCCATCGGCGGTGTGCTCTTGAACAACAAAACGATTTCATATGTTTTCAACCATACCTACCACGTTCGGCGCAGCATCTTTATACGCCGAAATGCAACTCTCACTGTAGAATCTGGGGTTCAACTGGCTTTTGGCAAGGGAATCGGGATTTATCTAATTGGTAAGTGATACTTACTTCTTATGTACCCATATTAATTCATAATTTATACTTGTAATCGCCTATAAATTTAGACGGTTTCAAATGGAATTATTGTCTGTTTTAAAGGTGCAATAATTGGTGTCGAGGGGCCATTCAAGGATCAAGGAGCAGTGTCAAAATATATTTAAATCCAAATTCTACATCCAAGGAGATCCCTGGATGAACATTATTTCAGTTGATATCCCTCTTCAAACGTGATGGGTCTTAAAAAGAATCTATATAAGTGGAACTCCCTTTATGGAAGCTTTTAACTGAATTTGCACTTGTTAATGCTGAAAATGATAGTTTATCCAAACATTTTAAGAAAATAGGTATATCAAAGTTTTCTCTCTACATGCCTTGTTGCCCCTTTAATGTGTGATAATATTGGATCATTCATGATGAAAATCATGGTAACTGATTTGTGTTCCTCTCACTTAGCATTGAAGATTTTGGAAACAAAAATAGTAAATTGGTTCATTCTCAAGGTCATTCCTTTCCAAATCCAATAGACTGTATATTAACATATATTTGTCTATATTATTTGAATTTTACCCTGTGATTAAATTTTCTACTTATCCCCCTCCAATCAACTATCAGTTTTATAAACCAAAATTGTAAATGCAATAAATAATATTAGTAAAATATGGTATTTACACCCAATATGAAACAATCTCGTTTTGCAAAATCCACAACTAATGGATTAAGATAATGGAAATATTAAGATAATAAAATAAATATACATACTATTTGATGTAGGTGCACTGCTCATCGGAGAGTCTGGCAATGGTGACACATCGATGAAAAGAATGAATCCCACGGGCAAATGGGGAGGAATTCGCATCGGATCACCTTCATCTGTCGGTAAGCTACAGGGTTAGCTCAGCTTTGTTGCAGTTTTCACTTTAAATTAAAAATCCATTGTAACTTGTTTATTTTCTTACTTAAAGGTCTCCTCCTCAATAATGTACAGCTAGACGGTTCCACATATGGTGTTCACGGATCAGGCAGGAACATTTCTCTACAGGATGTCACAATCACGAATACAGAGTATGCCATTTATGTATCTGATACCATAACCAAATACCTTAACATTGATATTACTAACAGTAGGATCGACACATCGTCTAACACTGGAATTTACATTCACACGTCAAATAATTTAGAAATGAGAGAGTTCAACTTGACAATAGAGGACGTGGTCATCCGTAACACACGTGGTAGTGGAGCTGTGTATATCAATGGAAAGGATAGAAGTAACAGCAAAGCATTTATTGTATTTGAAAATGTATCAATTCAAGATTCAACCAATCAAGCTGTTTACATTTACTACAGTGGTTACACAGATATCCAGTTTCGTGGTTGTGAATTTTCGGAATATACATCTTACGCCATTTATGCCTACATAAGACATGGTATATTTGAACTTGGAGACTGCATCATCAAAAACAGGCGTTACCAGTATTCTCGTGATATATATTATTTCACCGCGTGGACCAATTCCGGACCAAGAGCTATTTCAATATACAACAATACCTTTATGGACTTCAATTCACGTTACAATTATGGAATGGTTATTATTAATACACAGGCTTCAAGATCTGGTTATGAAGAGTCTTCCAGCATAGCGATTGTTAACAACACATTTCGATCAACAAGCTCAAGCACATCTGCTTTGGTTCTATCAAATATTAAGTATTTTTCTTCAATCGCGATAGAGGGAAACATTATACATAGTATGAGTCGTGTAGCGTGTGTTATTGGATTAAAAGCCGGGATTGGAACCGTTGATATCATTGGTAACGTAATCTCCGAGAGTAATGGAGCTTTATTTCTGACATCTGAACAAACAAGTGGCACAACCATCATGAAAAATCAGTTCCTTTACAACTTTGGAAGCGACAATGTCATTATCGATCCAAGCATAAGAAACAACTGTACTATCAGCTACAATGTCTTCTTAAATAACAGCAACAACGCAATGACCCTCAAAAGAGTCCAGTCGGGTACATTGTTGAACTACAACTTGTTTGATAACATTAAAGGAGAACCCAATTACAATGTTAAGGTATATCATATCATATTTTTGTAAATTAAAATCTATTAATTTTATATTGATTTAATTTTTTTTTAAATATATACAGGGCGATCATTAAGTTCTGGGAATTGGTCTGCCATTTCTAGATTTCTCAACCATTTTAGTTGAAATTTTCAGCAGGTGTACATTGTATAATTCTGAATTGACAAGCAATGTATCATATACATATCACATCTACAATTTATTTTATTGCAATTACAAAAAAGTAAAAGTGGTTCGCGGGTCAGGAAATTTTGACTGATGTTAATTTGAAAATTTCCTGCCAAAACGTATTCATCTTGCCTAGATGGTTGCTTCAAACTTCTTGGACTAGAAGCAGAACAGTACTCTTGAAGTCATTTATTCAGAAGTATTCTTCATTGCTGAGAGGATCATTTCATTTATGATTGTTTCCATTAGCCTGGACGCACATGCGTTGTTGACAAACCTAGTCCATAATGATGTGTTCCAGTCCTCCCTTTGGTATCCCTTGAAGATTTGCTCAAGCCATTGAAATCAGTCCCTTATCGGAATCAAACTTATGACCTCTCATATAATGCTTTAGCACCCAAAATGTAGTGAAGCCTAATGGTGCTTCATCTGGTGAATATTGTCTGGTGAATATGGGACAGTAATAACTTGTGTGAATCCTAATTCTTCAAGAGTAGTATGGGTAGCTTGAGTAATGGGAAGGAGCATAGTCATAATGGAAGATAACTCCCCGCTAGTTTTAGTCATGATTGTGACTTTGAGATGCTGATGAAAGATACGAAAATAGAGCAAAGTACACTCTTATAAAACAATACACATGTTACTTTAGAAACTAAAGTTAGAAGTATTTGAAAATATAAAAGAAAAATCACAGAAAAATGTCCACCAAAAAGGTATTTATTAACCATAATTTTGGATCAAGCAAAATTTGAATTCATTTTTATTTTACTTGACCCGCTACGCCATTTGTCATGTTGTTATAGTAACAATAATTATCCATTGTGACATTAGATGACAATGAGACTGTTTTATCCAACCCAAAATTACATTCCCCATTTACCTTGAAAATTTCAATTAAATTGCTTGAAAAATAATGAAATGACAGATAAATTCCCAGAACTTAGTGATAACCCTGTATATAACACTCAAGGTACTTTTATACTATTGATCATACACCAGTATTTTTGTATATGTATACACCTGTGTGTTTAGATAATCTCTTCAAAAGGTGGCCCTGATATAAATGCCAAGTTCAACTGGTGGGGCAGTAAAGAGCAGTCACAAATATTGGCCAGTATATATGACAACAAAAGAGACCCATCCGTTGGTGTATTAGACATTTTTCCGTTTCTACTTTCACACAATTTCTCAGACGTGTCAACTGAAGAAGATTTTTTTCGACAAGATGGTAGTATTGGAGGAGAAATTACGGGGAACATAACTCTTAGATGTGATGACAGTCCATATGATGTCGTGTCAGACATTGTGGTTATGGAGGAGGCGTCTTTGCTTATTGAACCATGTGTTGTGCTTAAATTTGCCGAGAACATTGGTATTCGAGTAAAAGGTGAGCTTGTTGAATAGCGTTTGTTAAAAGTACAAGTTAGCTGCTTTAAGTGTGTCACATTTATTCTTTGTTAATTTAACATAATTTGTTCCTGTGTAAAACTAATTGTAAGTCATGCATAAATTATGATCTCCCTTCGATGATTCGATATGTCCCGGTGTAAAAGAAATTATGGTCCCCTGGGGATTATGGTCCCCTTTCCTTGCGGCCCTTACTGGCCCTGACTGGCCCTTACTGTGTGTAAATAATAAGGAAAATAATTGTAATTAGGTCACCATATAAATCAATACAGAATAGGACCAAAATTTGATAGGACCACCTACCCTTTTACACCTGGACATACAAATATAATAGAGTTGTAATTTTGTCGAACGTAATGTGTTTATTTAGAGGTTATATTTGACGAAGGCCAGAATGACTTTTTATAGCTTCAAGGTATTAATAAAATATTCTATAAGTATTTATATTTAGGTGAAATCCACATGAATGGAACTGCAGAAAAACAAATCCAATGCATACCCCGTACATCTGTCGTCAAGTGGGCTGGTATAAGTATCACGACCGGTAAATATAATTTGCGCATTGAATCAAAGCAAACAGCAGATACCACGATATTCCAAAATTATACAGTATTTAACAAGAGGTTGATTATCAAAGAAGCACTTACAATTAAATGGATTGTGAAAATATAATATATAGTATTGAGTTGCTGTAATCAATGCTTTCATCTTTATTAATCACAACTTATCTCAAAGGTCTATTTGGCAAAATATTTTCTAATATATTACACTCTGCTCTACTTCATGCATATCCTTCTCTAACTAATTATTTCATACTAAACTCACTCAGTTGACCCATTCATGCACTATTATTTAAGAAGGCATTGTAGCTGATTGTACTACTACAACATAATAATTATGTGATTAAGTCCTAAACTCTTATATTATTATACATCATAAAAAATGGCTGATCTGGGAACCAACAAGGAGGGGGGGGGGGGCAAATGTGAGGTCAGAAAAAAACTTTGGGCCCCTAAAACCCGAAAATGGGCCAAAATATTGAAATTTTGAGGCCCATTTTCTTCAAAATTTGGCCTGAAATTAATAAATAAGGCCTTTTTTGGCCCAACATTCTTTTGGGCCTTATTTTTTTCTGGGCCCACCCAATGGGGGGGGGGGGCAGATCCGCCAGTGTAAAAAGTAACAAAACCATATGTTCATGTCTTTTATTTCTTCCAGAGCGTGCTGCCAACGAAAAAGGAGGTATCCGATTGGTAGGTGATACTGCATCGGGAAGACTTGAGGTATTTTATAATGGTCAATGGGGCTCAGTTTGTGACGATCAATTCGATACTCACGATGCTAAGGTTGCCTGTAGGCATCTGGGTATGTAACACTTTAATTGAACTAGGCATTATTAAATTGTTGGTGTAAAATACTAAAAATAATAGGAATTATCTTATGATATTCAAGTATGCAGTGTTAATGTTATTCCTTACAGGAATGAGGTCTGAGGGAGCAACTTACAGAACAGTTGGTGGTGGTACAGGCCCTATATGGTTAGATAACATAGCATGTGGTGGAAGTGAGACAACCCTATTCGAATGTAGACACAATGGTTTTGGAAGTCATAACTGCGGCCATGGTGAAGATGTTGGTATCACTTGCGTCGGTTTATTAAGCACAGCGAGTAGAAACCAAGTGTCTACATTGAAACATGTGCGCCTGCTTAATACAACCTTTGGACTTCACATCACAGGAATCATGCCTTCTGTTTTTCAACATGTAGAATCATCCAGATCAAGTCAGAATGGAATCACCTTTGATGTACGTTTTTTGATAGGAAACGTTTCAAATGTTTTGTTGGAAAATGTCAAAACATCTGAAAATCATGGTAATGGATTATTCTGGAATGAGAAATCTTACAGAATGTCAAATATTGAATTTGTAAACATCAAGTCCACTAGAAATCAAAAATTTGGGTTATACTATACAGGTTCATATCAGAACATATCAGTGATTAACAGTTTATTGACTGACAACACATATGGAGCAGTATATTCTTCTCTTTCAACATCATCACTGAACATTGAGTCTACAGAAATATCAAGAAACACACACGGAGCCCTATACTCAAACCCTGCATCCGACTCAGAGTTTAACTGCACTATACGAGATTGCAATATCACTTACAATGGCATTCCGTCTGATACATCAAATAGTACATTTTACTTCAGCCCAAATGGACAAAGATACAATGGTGTGTTTTTTCAGAAGAACAGATTCATTCAAAATACGGGGGGAAGGATGATACATTATTATGGCCACACGGGATATAGCAGTCAACCTGTTGTAATTTTGAGCAATAACACATTGTATGAAAACACAGGAGTCGCATTGTACATGGAATACATAAGTAACAATGCTAGAGTTTTATTTCATGACAACCACTTTGAAGGGAACAATGCAAACCCTGCAGCATCAGGAAATAATGCCTACATGTTTTATGGAACATTACAAGACAGAGGATCATTTGACTTTGAGTTGGAGAGAAATGTTGTCATAAACAACACAGCACCAAGTCTTCTAAGAATTGCACCATATTATAGTTGGTACAATGTCGCCAAAAGTATGAAAATTAGGCTTGACTACAATGTGTTCGAAAATAACCATGTTGCAACATCCATCGATCTAAGTCAAAAGATTTACAGAGTAGAAGGTCACAACAATATAATCAACAACCCAATGGCAAGTTATGAAATTAGGTCATCCGCGAGGAAACCATTAACTGGATATCATTTTGAACGAAATTACTGGGGTCTTAGAAACTTAAGTGAAATAGAAACATCTTTGAACAGTCACCACGACAACATCAATCTAAACCGAATATTTATTCATCCGATTGCAACCAATCGTGAATTAACCGAGTTTAGAGAAGATAATGATGTTGAGTTTTTTGAGACATCATTGTTTGGAGGGGATGTAGTTCAGAGCGTTGTTGTGGAATACAGAAGTGAGCCATACTATGTAAAACGATCCATATATATAAGGTAAGCAAGGCTGTAATACATGATTACAAAACAAATAAAAGTTTAAACATAAATAGGCTTTAACTAGTCGAATAGGGGAGCTAAGGTTGCCAAACATTTGGATGGAAGTGTTTGTCGTGATTTTTGATATTGGATTTCATTCCATAATTCTGATATTGAATATTGATATTCTCACGATATGCTTAAGAATATTTTTGTCCATATGTATGTAATATGGGGACAATGAAATAACTATCATTATATTCGTTAATCGGGTGTCACCTAATGGAAACATATACAATTTTTTGGACTGGGTAGAGCTACACATATAAATGTATTTGTTTAGAACAGTGATAACAGTATAATTATAGATATAGATATAGGTATTCTTTTCTTTTCTCTCTGAAATGTATGATAATTGCTTCATTCTCTAGAGAGGGGGCTTCACTGACTTTGAGGGCAGGAGTACATTTGAAGTTTCCAGGAGCACAGGGGATTATCGTTGAAGGTAATGGCAGAACACAAACATAATAATTAGAAAAAACATCTAGCGGTAATTAGTCAAATGGCAAAGAGCAAATACTACTAATAAAGAATAGTAAACATGATATAGGGTCACGATACATACAAGTCATGTTCAGGGCACATATCAATCGAGAATATAACATTTAACAACCAGCCTTGGAGGAAATTGTAAATTGTAAGAAAAAGTTCTGCAATGTGATAACACTTATTAACCAACACCACACCAAGACGAAACATGTAAGAAATATTTTCATAATTTTGAAATAGGGCGCCTTGTCATTGAAGGAAGTGCCGATAGAAAAGTAGTTCTTTCAAGAAAAGATACCAGCACTCAATGGGAAGGTATAATATTTCAGCGAACAACGGCAGAAGGTAAGTACCAACCCGACAACCAATTTTTGTATATTACGAACAACAACATGTCAATCTCATTGCCTCTATGCATCCAATGATTCGTACGTTATATGCATTATATATTGAGAATAACTGAATGTAGCACTTGAAGCACTGACCTGATTTCAGCTTGTAAAAACGGGACAAGGTTTATAATGATTAAACATTTCGCAATCGATGGAAACAATAGAGAGGTGAACAACAATTGGGATAGATGGCATTGTTTACATCGCTGTAGAACAGCAACCTTTGGATGCAAGTCAATTGAATACAGAGAGTCAGATGGACGATGTCAGCTCAGTGACAAATCAAGAGTGGACATCAATCCCAGCTTGTGGAACAACTATACCGAGGCGTATGATTTCTATGAACGAGCAGATTGTAACGGTGGGTAGAGATGATCAATTACTAGCCTTCTAAGTACTAATAGTATAGGCCTTGTACCTATACACTCCTGATTATTCCTTTGAAATTTAAAGAAATATCAGATGTAACGAGCAACCTTAACAATATTGTTACAATTTCAGAATACGTTTGGCTCAAATCATTCCTTATCATGCCTATTATCTAAAAATCAACAAATTGCATACTTTGTTTGAGGAACAGTAAACACTTTTACAATATGTATCATAAAAAATAAAATCAAATCATTTTGCTATTATGACCACTTTATCAAATTGCCTTATATGTATGGAATTGGATAGGATTTTTCATTGTTGAAAATGAAGATCGATTGAATTTAATTAATGCAAGTCTTACAGTAAGTATTATAAGCAATATTTCTCATTTTGCAAAAAATATTTTTCTATTATGTATTTTAGAATCGGACTCATCTGTTGTTCGTCATGTTAACATAACAGGATCAAAATATGGCATGCTGGTATATGATCTCCCAATTCAAGCTGATAACGTTCATATTGAAGAAGCGGAAACTGGGCTTTACTTTGCAGAAAATAGCTCTGGAAATAGTATGACATTTCGGGATAGTAGGATCAGTCAAACGAGTGAAAATGGTATACTTATAAAGTCACTTGCTTTGCGATATCTTGATATGACAGGAAGTGTTGTTGACAGGGCGGGGCAGAGAGGTATACATATGGAGAAGAATGGTCTGAGGCTTATTGTAAACAATGGGACGATAACTCGTTCTACTTATTATGGAATCCAAGCAGCGTATGCTACGTTTGTGTTACTAGATGGTGTGACCTTCGACTCCAATTATCATCATGGTGCATACTTCCAATATCCGTTAAATATATCCTTCACCAACTGTGTATTCATGAAAACAGATCGAGAAAATAGATATGCAGTATATATTGAAAGTATGGGTAGCAACTATGGCGCTTCTCAATCTCAGATTACCATGACAATTAAAAACTCTGTGTTTGAGCAAAATTCACGACATGCTATAAAAGTAACCACGCATTATCACAATGTAAATATGTTCATAAACATCCATAATAATCTATTTCGTAACAACAGTGATACTCTAATGGACCTTGATTTTTATAAAGGAATTGATGTTTTGATTGAAGATAACACAATAGAATATAATAGCGGGTCGTCAAATCTAATAGATTTACATCCAATATATAATCGATATGATAACCGACGGGTCAAAAGTGAAGTTCACATTGTCGGAAATGAATTCTTGAGAAACGAAGGCCTGACGATGGTTTACCTACACCCAGATAACATAGCGAATAATAGAGGCACGTTAACTGATAACGCATTCACTGACAACGTTGCATCGCAAGGCATCATAAGGACAACGTCGGGGAATTATTCGATGCATTACAATATACTAGAAAACCCTTCAAGCGTTTATGAGCTTTATGTCGCATATGATGGTGATAACATCATAAACGCTACGTACAACTGGTGGGGAAGCGCAGTAGAAGCATATGCAGATGAACGCATATTTGATAAAGAAGATGCATTTAATGCTGCAGAGGTAGTTTACATTCCAATGTTATCAGGAAAAGTATTTACATGCTTTGCTGTGAACAACTGTTCTAACCATGGCGAATGTGTTAGACCTGATAGATGTCGCTGTGTTGATGGCTGGCAGGGGCCAACATGTAATCAAGTCTCATGTAAGCAGGTAAAGCAGGACCTCTCAATTTTATAGTTCTAATGCATATCTTACATAAAGCCGACTTGCTCTCTTATTCAATTCTAAAAGGGTTGTTCAAAAAGTTTTGCACAAATATGTCTATTTGTATAAATAATGAACCGATCTTAAAGGGTTGATCAAAAAGTTTTGCACAAATATGTCTATTTGTATAAATAATGAACCAATCTTGTATAAACTTTATAGGTTTGTGGCCCTATCTTATCTCCTTACACTCTTAGGGTTTCATGCGTATACGTCAACTACTTAATAATTTATGGTTGCTATAGTAACCAGGGTGATGACGCAATGGTCCATATCATTTTGAAAAGGAAAACTTGTAATATATAAAGAACAATATTACTGAACATGCTAAATTTACTGTCTAAAACTATCTACTTAAATTTAAAACAATAATTAGTATTGTTCTCATGGCAAAAATAAATTTTATATCAATATGTCCAATCTTGATTTCTTTGATTATGTAAAAGAATGACTGAACTAACTCTTCAAACATATTCAACAAAGCACCTGATTTTATGATGTAATCAAAGTTCTCATGGATTTATGCAATGCTGTAGAATATGGCTCCAAATAACAAAGTTGTAGCAGAAAACACCCATTGATAGAATACATAATAAATATGGGGAAACAGTGTTATATTCATTCATGCATTAAGACATTGCATATGATGACGCAAAATAGGCATCGCTAAGTATTCCTAGATGGAATTAGAGAAAAAGAAATGTATTGACAGAGGATAGCTGCAGTCATAAGAAGACTTGACATCCTAGAGCTAGGATGGTTCAGACATTAATCTTTAGACTGGACATAAAGCTACAAATAATGCATTTCTGAAAGGGATAGACTACATATTAAGAACTATTTCTTTAGATCAAATATAAATTAGTTACACCATAACCTGACTAACAGCTGAACGAATAAAGATTGACCAAACCATTTCAGTCTATCGAGGCATCAAGAAAATGAATTTATTTTCATGATGTCATATGGACAATGGGCCGATTTGTTCAAATTTTAAAGTCAATGTAGGAAATGCTTTGCTTACGGTCTTGAAATTTGATATGTACTTGTAAGAAGGGTGATACTATTATGTGTATAAAATTGCATGTTAACATAGTAAATCTCATCTCTTGAGAAACTTTTGTGCAAAACCTTTTGAATGACCATAATACGACAGAAAAACTAAGAATCCCTTTGGATTTATTTAATCGTGGGGTGTACGGCATACATCTGTCTAGTATGTCGTAATGTTGAAATTTTGATACTACTTTTATATAAAGGTCTCTGACTGCTATGGTAATGGCAACTGTGTTGGACCAAATGTTTGCGAATGCACCGGGGGTTGGACTGGAGAGACCTGTGCAGATGCAACATGTTACAATGTGAACAATTGTTCACAAAGAGGATACTGTTTGCAACCAGACACATGTTCATGTTTTTCTTCCTATGCGGGGAATGACTGCTCACAATGCCAAGAGTTGTATTGGGGTCAGGATTGCGAGCCATGCCCGCCATGTGTCAATGGATACTGTGACGAGATGTCAGGTGATTTGATTCAACTAAATTTAAGTCCACATATGAACGTACATCTATAGAAAATCACTGGCGTTTTTGGGGTATTTTGAAAATGAAGATGTCAAAGACATGTTAGTTTAAATGCGTAATGTATCATAATATTTCTTTAATTAAGGTGGATGTACATGTTCGTCAGTAAATTGGGCCGGGGAGCTATGCAGTGAGTGCAACAGAACATTCTACGGGCCTTATTGTTTGCCCATTCCTACAGTTCTCCTTGTTGCCCCGTCAACAGGACCTGACATAGGTGGCACTGTGGTCAACGTAATCGGGCACAATTTTGAGAACAGTAGTGATGGATTGTATAGATGTCGTTTCGGTGATATCGATGTGATTGGTCAGTGGCTGTCACGTGAACAAGTGCGTTGTATTAGTCCAAAGCAAGTTGGCGAAGTCCCTGTAAATGTAGGAAAACCAGGAGACGAAATGACAAACCAAAGAGTATGTATAAACTTATAGGATGTTATCAATTGTCAAGTAAATCAATATATTTTGAAATACACATCTAGGCCCATGCTAAATTCAAATACCACCCTACATGTAGATCCCCAAGCAGTGCTTGTGATTGAAATGAAACACCAGCTCATGGGATTGGTATGTTTTGACAACGTTCAAAACTCTACCGTTGTGCTTATTTTTCTCTAAAGGTTAAATTCAAGTACCACCCTACATGTCCAATCAGTGCCTGTGGACGAAATGAAAACCAACCTCATGGAATTTGTTTGTTTGGACAATGTACATGTATTCTACCATTAATCTGGCGTATTCCTTATTTTAGGTTACATTCAAGTACCACCCTACATGTCCAAGCAGTGCCTGTGGACGAAATGAAAACCCACCTCATGGGATTTGTTTGTTTGGACAATGTTCATGTATTCTACCATTAATTTGGCGTGTTCCTTATTTAGGTTACAATCAAGTACCACCCTACATGTCCAAGCAGTGCCTGTGGACGAAATGAAACACCACCTCATGGAATTTGCTTGTTTGGACAGTGTTCATGTGTTCTACCATTAATCTGGCATATTCCTTATTTTAGGTTACATTCAAGTACCACCCTACATGTCCAAGCAGTGCTTGTGGACGTAATGAAACACCACCTCATGGAATATGTTTGTTTGGACAATGTTCATGTATTCTACCCTGGGAAGGAGAGTCGTGTCAAGATATAGTAATTGCGCCATTTTTTAAAGAGGTTAATCTCACCTCTGCCCGGGAAGGGAAGAGATATGAAGCTCAAATGAATATAAAACAGGTACGGTATAATTAAGTATAAATTATGCATAGACTGAGTACATATGCAAATTCATTCCATATAAATGTATAGTATATATTATAGTAATTGTATTAAGCTCTTAAAGTTTCAATGGTTAAATTACAAATATGTAAATTACAAATATTTCATCACGTAGATATCATTGTAGGGAACTAGACCAATAACATGGCAGCTGCTGAATGGGCCTTCAGGAATGTCTCTTGATCCAAGATCCGGTTTATTGATTTGGCTTAGGACTGTGGCACAGAAGGAACCTTATGTAAGTTATATATATTCTAACAGGATCTTAAGAGGTTCTGGACAAATCATTTGATTCTGGACTTGACATATTTTTTTTCCAACGAAATCACATCCAAGGGTTGAATTTTTATTGGATATTTAGAGAGCGAGTCCTGTATTGATTTCAATAAAAAGGTTAAAATAGAACGCTATTTGAGAGTTAATCTTATACTTTCATTACATTGATAAATTAAGGCAAATTCTGAAAAATTTTAAAGTGCATTTTTTATGAAATATTATCCAAGTATTTAGATGAAACGGTCTTATTTAAATACAAATCATAGCATGATGATATTTTTTCATAAAATATTTCTTCAAGAAATTCAATTGAAGGCTCAAGATAAAACGAGCTAATTTAGGTGAAAACCCTTACATGATGATGTGTTTTCATGACTTCTTTCATAAAATTCCATCAAGGGGTGAAAATAAAATGATCGAATTTAAGTGATTTAAGGATCACGAGGATAGGTTTTCTTGGATATTTTCTATGAAATCCCATCCAGTGGTCAAGGTAAAATTTTTATTTGGTATATTTGGTCACGTGTTCGAACCCATAGAACCATATAGGAACGTCATTTTGAATGTTACGTGATAAATCCATATAAGGCTTTTAGAACAATGTGGGGAAAGAGTGGAAACCCCTGACACCTGTTCACGATTTTATCCGAACGTTCATCGGATCATTTCGGTTTTTATGCACTTCATTATTTTACCGAAGTTTGCCGATTCGATTCGTCGTATTTCGGAATATTGGGAGCAATTTTATACTCCATTGGGAGTATTTTTAATCTACTTCTTATTACGAAGATTCCCGAACCTTGTTCGGATTAATCCGGATTTTCTGACCTACTTCATCTACCGAGATTTAACGAGTTTACATTCGGCTCATTTCGGAATCCTGGTGACAATTTTATACTCCATTGGAGTATTTTTGATCTACTTCTCTGGATTTTTGATCTACTTCTTATGACGAAGATTCCCGAATCAGTTCGGATTAATCCGGATTTTCTGACCTTCTTTATCTACCGAGATTTAACGAGTTAACATTCGTCTCATTTCGGATTCCTGGTGACAATTTTATACTCCATTGGAGTATTTTTGATCTACTTTTTCTGGATTTTGCCCTACTTATTATAAGTTGACAGCAAGCAAATCAAAAAGTTCGCCATGAACGGGGTTCGATCGACTAACCTAGAGAGTGGAAGCTAAACACGCTAGCCATGAGGCTAACGTTCACCTGTGTGAGATGATAAAAGTATCATATATTTATACCGAGCGTCAATTTAGAATGATCTTCGCTTTTGACTCCACTTAGATACAACTCGTCAGTTGTATCCAGAATAGGTGAACGCCTATGGTGTTAGTGAATAACCAAATCCCAGGCGAGTGGTTCGTATCCCACCGTGATATGTTATTTTTGCTTTATTAATACGACAGAAAGGAGCAAGGTGTAGGTTTGAAAACAAGACGTACGTTTATTTCAATACAGTTTTAGAAACATTAACCTCTGATAATTGAAGGATTTCCACTTCTGAAGCGCGACTAGATCTAAGAAGTTCATTAATCAAGACAGTGTAAACCTTTTAGATATATGTTAGACAATGTACACGCCCCGTCTGGAATCAACTAAATGTTACATTTTGGATTTCATTGAGATCCTGTCATAGTCCTAAAATTTATTTTTCTGGAACATCATTTTTTCAACACTGATACAAATTTCCCTGACATTTCCATGACATGTCTACAGTTTCAAAATTCCCGGACTCTTTGGCCCTTTTTGACCTTATTTTAAAATTCTCTGACATTTCAGGCACTTGGAAAATTAAATCAAAACCCTGACATTTCCAGGTGTGTACGAACGCTGGAATTATTCTTAAAATATCCTTCAAACAAAAGGGGAAAATGCTATGCACAAATACTCTAATTTAGTTTGTATTGTAATGCGTTGTATTACATTGCATTGCATTGTATTGTGTATTTATTTGAGTGTCCGTTGACGGTAAAGAAGGCATTTAAAAGTTATTTGTGAAACTTAATAAACTTAATAAACAATACTTTAACAGTATTCTGTTATGGCAAAGTATATTTAATTTTTTCTCTTGTTCTCTACAATCTGCGTTGAGGACACTGAAGCATATGTCTGTATTTTGTTGGTGGGGAACAGCGTATCCTATCGTTCACGGAGCAAATTCAACTCTCGTTCACGAGTACCTTGTTTTTGGGCTCTTGTCCCAAAGATAACGATTGTATAAGGTTGCATAATCAGGATTATGAGCTTTCATGTTCTCATAGTTACATCTGTTGTAAAACGAATCTTGTCGCAACCTCTGCGAATCACGACAGCATAACATTTGAATCACGTTGACATCATTGCAAAATTAGGCTAAATATGCTAAGTCAAGACGTTAATTAGCCCACGAAAGTTCATGGGTAACTTGAGAACTACAAAATACAACCAAATACTTTTCGAACGTACAATAGCAATATTTCTCACCTAACGTCTTCATAGTTTTAGGAACGTATTTTAAACGCATGATAGCCAAATATATCAAGATACTATATCTGCCTAAATGAAGTTATCTAGTATTTACAAAGTTTTGAAATATATTATATCCAGATCCATCAGAAATTAACTTATCCATTTACATTACTTTACTAGTTCTAGTATCTTGCATGACTCGTTCATAAGAATTCTTTAATTCTACCTCGTTCCCAATACGTCCTCAGACAGACAAGAAATTGAAGTCACACCCGTTTGTTTGCGTGGCATATTTATACGTATACGCACTTTCTCTGATTATTGTCAAACAAATACATTTCAGGAGAAGAACATAAAAAACAAATGCCTGAAACGAATGCCGAAACATAAATCCCAAGTGATTAAGTATAGAATGTTTTATTCTTTTACGATTTGATAAGAGACCGAGACTAAGAAATTAAATGCGACGAAATATTTTGACAACGTAATTTGTATACTGTTTTATTCTTAAAGTTCTATGCGATAAATTATTTTATCTGTTTCAAAATGTTTCATTTTATTTTGCCTATATAAAAGAGATTGAAGAAGATAAGATAAACTGTTCCGTAATATATATTGTGTTTTAATAACCTTTTTTTAGAATCACAATGTAAAATAAATCTCCCGTTCCTGCCATTCTGGTAACGCCATGCAATGGATGCAATTCAAAGTGAGAGAGAGATCTATGAATAACAGAATGCGTCCATGCCATTAATTTGGCCAAATACATGGCATGAAACTGACGTAAGTTTAAGTAAGCTACGCCCTCCGCTTTCTCTGGTAAATTATGACTTTATTTTTCGGAGTAATGGGTTTCGGACAACTGGGTTTCGGAGAACTGGGGTGTACCCGATTACGCTTTGCACGCCGGTAGTTTAATCCGGTAGCCGACAGGCGTTTCTTGCATTATTGAATACAAGCTAACCTTATATTCGCGAATGCAACTAACGCCTTCCGGCTACCTGATTAACCCAGTATAATATGACCAAGTCATTTAAATATATTGGAATAGTGGCAGGTACTATTCGTATTGACATGAGTTTCCAGTAAAATAATAGGTTAATCCGGTAGCCGACAGGCGTTAGTTGCATTTGCGAATACAAGCTAAGACTATGATTTGGGAATGGAAGATTTCAGCTTCCGGATTAACCTACCATTCTATGGGCGACTCATTTAAATATGAAAAGAACCTGACAATATTCCATTGATATTTTAATGAATTGCCCATAAAATAGTAAAGTAGGTTTATCCGGTAGCCGACAGGCGTTAGCGGCATTCGCGAATACAAGCTCCTTTATTTCATAATTTGGGAAATATATATTTTCACAATATTGAAATAGATGGTGGTTCAAAGTGGAATACATATCATACAAGTGTCACAGATATTTTTAGTGCATATATGGTCTGTCTTTGCATGACTTTGTAGAACATATCAAAACCCTGGGATCCACAGGGTAACAGTAAGTACATTTTGTTAGATCTTCCGAAGTTCATGCTTTTAAAGTTGTCAAAGTTGTAAAAGGGTAATCCTTTTTTGAGTACGAAAGCGTACTTTTTGTTCAATAGCCTTTCCCAGCTGCTAATCTTTTGAGTGCATCGTGCATTCAACGAATTGTATTCACTTATTAACCAATCAGTGCCAGGAACAAAATGCACACTTACTTTTTGGGCTAAGTTTAGTGTTTTATGAAGCATGCTACATACAAATGTTACGCTTTTGCTCATTTACTTTGAGAACTATCTATAGGTACACATTACCAATTGACTCCTAGATTTGAGTGAACAAGTACCTCGTATTTTTCATTTTTCGATATTTTGAGATTTGTTGGCTGATGAGTAACTTGATATTTTATGTCTAAATATATTAAAGTGGTTAATAGTAATAGTTTTATTGTACACCATAAACTGTTAACGTTTTAGAATTGGGACACAATATATGATTTGATAATAGAACAATACATGTATATGTCTTACTCTAAACTTGGTGGTTTGTTTGTTAGTATGTTTTCTTAACAGCTCAATAACTGTTGTATTAATAAGGCGTTATACTATGAAAAAAAGATTGAACGATGTAGGCATAGGCAGAGGGAGTATCACACTACCCTACCACGTGAACACATTTAAAAAGAATACAGGGTACAGTTAAGTTGCAAATAGAGCAGGTATTCTTTGTCCTTTTCCATAGGACTTTTCTGGTGATAGTGCGTTGCAAACTGCTCGTTGAATCTATACAATGTAAAATCTAGTATTCCTCCAGAACTATGGAAATAAACAAAGGTCCTCCATTTGCAACTTCACTGTAGCCTGTATTCCTTTTAAAGAAATACGGGCTACAGTATTGGGGTATAGTAGTTTGATTTTTCAATATATCACTAATCTAGCTTCTTTCCTTGAAAAAACATGA